TCCCTGTGCCACACTGTCACCAGCATCACACATTCCATACCCCCCTGCAGGTGCCACAGCGCACTCCCAAAAGCCACTGCGGAAACATCTTTGCCCTTTTCATAGTTTCCCCTAACACTGAAGAACCTGGAGGTGCTCCACTTAGGGAGTGCACGGGGCAGCCGAGGGGATGCAGTCCCCTTCTGGGCAGCCTCTCCAGGTCTGGGCACAGAACCTGCCCCCGCTTCTCTTCCAAAGAATGAAGCCCCTCCCAAGCCTGCTGGACTCACAGGCTTTGTGATCAATTCTGTGTCCTGCAAGGGTTTTTCTTTATTGACATGAAAACCCCATGGAAATTAGAAAAGACTGGGAAGGGTGAGGACGGATGAGAAAAAGGTGTGCAGCCTGATGTGTGGGCAAGGACAGGTGTGTCTGGAGTTTGCTCCATATATGCCCACCTCTCAGTCCCTTGTGTGGACTTACTGCCTTGGCCCTACTCTGGCTTGAGATGACAATGCCCCCAAGGCCAACACTCCTCCTCTCTCCTGAATCCACAGGGCCCACACCATTGAGTCCATGCCTCCGTCTCTGTGCAGGCCCGTCCCCAAACTCCCCAGATGACGAGCCTGAACCCTGGCCTGCAAGATCTCCGGAGAAGGACATGTCTGGATCTCTAGATTGAGATGGTTTCTGTCATCTTCCTTGGATCTAGCCAAAGTCTTTCTTCTGGATTTGTAAAAGATCTCTTCTTCAGAAGAGAAGAGATCTGTGGAAGAGAGCAGGCATGGTGCCAACAGACAGGAAATGAAGTCACGATGCTGGTCATTTTCCTCTTCTCTTCCCTCTCTTCTCCCCCTCCTCCTTCCCCATCACCCCGCTGCGCCACCCTTGGGACCGCTTGTCAGATGTTTTCACTGTGATGAGCAATGCCTGCCTGTACAGTGCCTTTATGTGGTGTTGATTTTTGCCGTGAGCCTTCAGGCTTCTCCTTGTAGCCCTGACAAGGGAAATCCCATAATGAAGGATTTCACGGAGCTCTACAGGCTGGTGGAGGCTTTTCTTTCCATCTGTCATTTTACTTTAAGCCTTGACCTTTCTGTTCCCATGTGAGGCAGTACCAGGAAGGGGCTTGGGCTGGAGAGCAAACGTCTGGATTTGGACCCCGGATTGGGCTGCCAGTGAAGCAGAGAAGGTGGCCTAGGGTTTCCACAACATTAAAATAAGGAAGACAGTGCACGTTCCAGGCGGTGCGATGGTGGGGGCGGCGCAAAGATGGGGGATGGAGAGTGTAAATAGAGGAGAGCCCCTTTGCTTTAGAAGGAGGTCCTACATGGAAGTAGGAAGGCAGAATAGTGTAGGCGTCCCCCTCTCTGGCCACCTCCGGCCACTGAGGGATTCCTTATTACTGAAGAAAGCAGAGGCTTCAGAGTCCAAAATATCTGGGTTTGAAGATTGGCTCCACCACTTGCTGGAGAGCTGGAGCCACGTGGCAAACAGCCTTGCTAAGCAACCCTGGGCAAGCGGCTTATTTTCTCCAACTCTCAGTTTCCTCATGTGAACGTTAGAGGTCTCAACGCGCATGTCACAGGTTGCTCTGGGGCTAGAACAGGATAATGGCAGGTGCTTGGCAGAGCACCTGCACACAGGTGACGCTTAATCAAGAGTGGCCACAAGTTTGTTTCAGATGAGGATAGAACCTCAACATAAACTGGAAGATAACAGAAACCAAAACGCCCGGCCTTGGCCTCTCCCGGCTGAGAGAACCCCCCGAAACTCTCCAGAGGGGCCTCAAAGCAGGACAAAGAGCCAATAGGAAAGCAAGCTCGGGGCTTTGATGGCAGTAAAGGGCCATCTTCTGACCAACTTTCCCATGTCAGGTCGATAGGGAGACTGAGAAAAAAATTACAGTCTCCAAGGCTCCAAGACAAAATACCCACCCGGCACTGCTTTGAAAGGGCAAACCCTTCGAGATGCACAAGGATTTTGATTGTTTGAAATGTTGGTAACATTTCATCTTCCCAGAGACCTTGTTCATTTATCAGGGTTCTTAAAACCCTTTTGTTCATAAGCTGGTGGTGAGGACAGAAAACATTCTATCTAATATCAGAGCACAGCTGTTCAGCGACAGAAAGACTTAGGGGAAAAGCCCTTCAAAAAAAAAAAAAAAGGAAGGGGGGAAACATCAGGGCTATAAACATGGGAAAAGCGACTGTGGCTGAAAGAAGGCCTTGCAAGCAACAGCTGCCTCACAAGAATATGCTGTTTGGGGAAGTGTGAGAAAGAGAATCAGCACACTGACAGCAGGGCCTCTGCAAGGGCTGGGTAAACACTGGGACCAAGGCGAGGCCCCCAGAGCTGGGCTCCTCCTCTCTGTAGGGTTCCTGGCAGTTCTGCGCAAGGCCCCAACCAGGGCCCCTAAAAATGTTTGAAGTAGGTGTGGAGCCTTGAGTAACATCTTCTTAAGGGCCAGTGTGGCCGGAAAAAAAAAAAAAAAAAAAAAGACCTAGTGGAAAACTCTGTCCATCCAATACCACAGAAGACCAAGAAATATTTTCTAAAAAGGACTTTGACTGCTCCTGAAAGCACAAGACAGAGCGAGCAGAGTCAGGCCAAGGCAGGGACTGTGTGGCACTCGTCACCGGCTGAGTGAGGCCAGGACAGACAGTTCTGGGGTCTTGGATTCATTTTCAGCTCTGCATTTTTCAGTCGAGGGTCATGTTGATCTTCACGAATTCGAATAAAGGAACATCACATCCACATTTGTGAAATGTCTGAATAGTAGCATTTTTAAAAATGTGGTTTTGTTTCACATTTCAAGGCAGATTCTAAAAGGGAATAAGGATAAAGTTGACAGAAGAAAATGTCCACCACTGTGAATTACAGTCACCTTGTTACGTGATATTGGCATGTGATAGCTATTGCAAGCGGGAGCTCTAGAATCAGAAAGACCTGGGCTTAAATGCTGGTGCTGGGTGACCTTGAAAAATGTGTGTACACCTCTGTGCCTAAGATTCCCCATCAGTGCAATGAGAACCCAAGCATCTCCTCTACAGCGTTGTCATGATGGTTCCGTGAGCTTCTACGTAGGAAGTATCTGGAAGAGGGTTGGTCCTAGTGAGCTGCACAAAATTGAAGCTATAATTTTAACGAGATGGGAGTTATAATGAGGTTTTGTTGCAGTAAAAAGAGCCAAGTCAGGAAGCGTGGGAGATCTGAGCTCGACCACTAATTAGATTCCATGCCACCTCTGGGCCTCAGTTTTCTCTGTTGGAGGCAAATTATACCTGTCTCCCTATCTGACGTGAAAGTTATGGTTGGCCAGGTGTGGTGGCTCACGCCTGTAATCCCAGCACTTTGGGAGACCGAGGCAGGTGGATCACCTGAGGTCATGAGTTCGAGACCAGCCTGGCCAACATGGTGAAACCCTGTCTTTACTAAAAATACAAAAAAAAAAAAAAAAAAAAAGTCAGGTGTGGTGGTGGGCACCTATAATCCCAGCTACTGGGAAGGCCAAGGCAGGAAAATTGCTTGAACTCAGGAGTCGGAGGTTGTAGTGAGTCGAGATTGTGCCACCGCGCTCTAGCCTGGGTGACAGAGTGAGATCTGCCTCCAAAAAAAAAAAAGTTATGGTTAAAGAGACTTAGGAAGTATAAAGGCATTTATGAATGTGATCTATGGTTATTATAAAATGTCCTTATTATGCAATTTATTTTCCCTCATTCAGCAAAATTCTAATGCAAGGACCCTGAATGATCAGCTCATAATTCTACCCGATAGTCTTGATTCTAATAAACCAGTTGCAAAGAGAGAGAGAGAGACGCAGTAAGAAAGACAATCAGTGAAATTTGGTGAAGTTAAGGAACTACTGTTCACTCTTTTTAGTTGTGACGTTGCACTGTGGACATACATGTATGTGGGAGAGGCTTCACACGCTGTTACACACGGAGCAGCCACAGATGAAATGACATCATGTTTGGATTTGCCTTCAAGTCATCTGGGTGGGAGAGGGAACTGGGGTCAGGTGTAGAGAAAAACAGATTGGCCACGTGCTAATAATTGTAGAAGCTGGGTGAGGGAGCGTGGTAGTTACTTATGTCTCCTACTTTTATGTTTGAAACATTTCCATAATAAAAGGAAAAAACAATAACAATGAAATCCAAAAGAGGGATCAATGATTAAACATCAGTGACGGCAGGTGAGGGCCAGGTAGAGAGGCCTGACTGGGAGGGCCAGCTTCCCTGTATACCTCGGATGCAAGGAAGGTGCACAGCAAAGGGGGAAAGCTGGAAACTGGGCAGCCTGCTACACACACACACAAGACTATGGGACGAAAACAAGTCACGTAACCTCTCCAGGCCACAGTTTCTTCATCTTTAAAGTGAGAACGTGAGACTCAAATGTCCCTTTCAGTGTTAATGTAACATGATTTTTAGGAATCTCAAGCAATCAGATGTATCTTGCCAGATTTTCTGAATATAATAGATAAATCTCACTTTCAAGGAAATGAAACAATTTTTTTTTTTTTTTTTTTTTTGAGACGGAGTCTGGCTCTGTAGCCCAGGCTGGAGTGCAGTGGCCGGATCTCAGCTCACTGCAAGCTCCGCCCCCCGGGTTTACGCCATTCTCCTGCCTCAGCCTCCCGAGTAGCTGGGACTACAGGCGCCCGCCGCCTCGCCCGGCTAGTTTTTTGTATTTTTTAGTAGAGACGGGGTTTCACCGTGTTCGCCAGGATGGTCTCGATCTTCTGACCTAGTGATCCGCCCGTCTCGGCCTCCCAAAGTGCTGGGATTACAGGCTTGAGCCACCGCGCCCGGCCATGAAACAATTTAAAATATACCAGGCAAAGAGCTGGGCACGGTGGCTCACACTTGTAATCCCAATGAATCGTGAGGCTGAGGCAGGCGGATTACTTGAGCCCAGGAGTTCAAGGCTGTCATAAGCTCTGATCATATCACTGCATTCTAGCCTGGGCAACAGAGCAAGACCCCGACTCTAAAAAATAAAAATAAATTAACAAAATATACAGAAATGTTCTTTATTTAAAGAAGCACAGCAACAGAGTGTCTGGCTAAGTGCAAATCCCTTGTGAAGGGCATATCTTCCTCCCCAGTGTATTTGTGGCCTCAGATTCACCTGGTACAGTAAAAGATCAACTGACCAAAACACTGAGTTTGCAGAAATTCTTCCAAACTTCATTTTTACAAGTGGAATGTTACCTTAAGGAGAAAAGAAGTCCTTTATGTTTCTCTCGAAATCAGGTAATTTCTCTCAAAAACAGGAGTCTGCTTTCCCTTAGGAGGAGGCTAGAGCGAGGCACGCAGTCTTCCTGGTGACCTTGCAGGGTTCCTGCTTGAGATGGCCGCAGGGCACCAGCTCTGTGTCCGGAACTAGAGAGGCAGACGGCACGGGTGGAGATCAGGAGGAGTCTGCCAGTTTTATGGAAGATTCTCTGGAAGTGGGGGACAAAAGAAAGAGGGCCCATTAATAAAAGCTTCTGATTGGCTGCCTCAATTACAGGGCTTTCTTGCATCCTTCAATCCCAAATGGGCTTCTCACATGTCTCCTTGTTACCTTAAGGACTTGGAACATGGCCGGGCATGGTGGATCACACCTGTAATCCCAGTACTTTGGGAGGCCGAGGCGGGCAGATCACTTGAGGTCAGGAGTTCCAGACCAGCCTGGCCAACATGGTGAAATCCCGTCTCTAAAAAATACAAAAATTAGCCAGGTGTGGTGGTGCATGCCTGTAATCCCAGCTACTCAGGAGGCTGAGGCAGGAGAACGGCTTGAACCCCGGAGGCGGAGGTTATAGTGAGCTGAGATCGTGCCACTGTACTCCAGCCTGGGCAACAGAGCGAGACTTTGTCTCAAAAAAAAAAAAAAGACTTGGAACAAAATTTTCTAACATATGGCCTACAAATCTCTCTCTCCTTTCTTCTAAAAAGCACCTGATTTTGTCTGCCAAGGACTCAACACTATTTTGTCCTGTTAAGAGCACCCTGTCTCGCTGATCATTAAAAAAACCAACCTAGAAATGTCTTTGAACAGTCAGTGAAAGCCCACATTTTTTGAACAACTACTGTCTACAGACACTCACCAGGAGCTACGGGAGATAGAAGGGAGTAAGAAAGACTCTGACTTCTTTTTGTTGAGAGACAAACCAGTGACAAATCAGATTTTGATGGCCGGGGTTCCAATATTGTGTTTGAGTACCAGCTCATCCCATAGCCACTGAGTGCTTAGGCCCCTGTTTCCGTCTCTGTAATATGGTGATAAAAATAACACCAACTCATGTGGTTCTTGGGAGAATTAAATGCGATAACCCCACAAAGCAGTTACAATGGTGGGTGACACCTGCTAAATGTTCAATAAATGTTGTCTGATCATCTGAGAAATGTACTCGTGCAAGAAGCCGCTAACACCAGGAGATGCCATACCAGCGAGGTCACATGATACCTAATACCCAAGGCCAAATGAATAGTAGAGAGGGTAGATTTGCTGCAGGAGAATAGGGTGTGTTACTGGGGGCACCAGGACCAACTGGGCTAGCTTCCAGAGTGTCTGAGACTTCCATCACCCAAATGACTGGTCTGAGCCACAGCCCACCCAGGGATGAATGTGGACCAGCCTGGACCTCAGGGCACTTGGGCCTTCTGTCCCCCAAACAGAACTTGGAGTCTTATGGGTGTGGGGGATGGCTGGTCAGGGAGGGATTCGCAGAGTGGAGTCACTGGCGCCAGGGGCTCAAAGATGGACAGGATTCCCAAAGGTTAGAGGCAGAGACAATAAAGAGGCCGGCCTAAGCGCAGCCCATCTCCTCTCTCTAGAGGCCCCCTTCATGGTCACCTCTTCCAGGGTTGAACATGACGCACTGTCGGGAGTGGATTCTCTCTCTCCCTGAAATTCCCCAGCTGCTGCTCAAACAGAAACCTACTTTTGCTTGCCTGGCTCTTGGGGGAGCTGTTACCTGCATCCCCCCTCCTACAGAGCAGCCCTTCTCAGAGCTGCGGGCTGAGGTCCCATCAGCCCTTCCCCGGGGCTTTCTCCTCTCCCGAGGACCACGTCCTGCTGCTGTCCTGGAAGCCACCACTCGCCTTTGTGCACGGCCCAGCACAGGGAAGCCAACCCTCGAGAGGACTTTGAGGTCTCCCCTGGCAGGGACCCAGGCTTGTGGCTGCTGTGTAGTCGCTCTCTCCACCGCCTCCACCTTCCAGAGCTGTAGGGGACACAGCCGCCACTGGCACCCCTTCCCAGGTCAGCTCAGAGGCTTTATTCTCAGGACGCTGGCATTCCGCTCTGGGCCATCGCAGGGGATTTCAAGTGAAAAACAAAACAAAACAAAAACTGAGGAATGTCTTCCTCGGTAAAACAGATGCCCTGTCCAGCTCACTTACTAGCTGGGTGACCTGGGGAACATTACATGACCTTTCTGTGCTTCAGTTTCCTAATCTATTAAACAAGGGTAATAGTAATCTCTATCGTGCTTGTTTGGAGGAGTGAGTGAGTTGATATAACAGATGCGTTTAAAACAGTGCCTTTTACAACATTAGGGAACTATTGGCATGTTGTTCTTTTACAGTGGTTACGGGTGCAGGGTACTGAATTAGGCAGACGGTGGAGACATCAATGAACCTCTCTGAGCTTCAGTTTCTTCATTTTCTTAAAATGAAGATAATGACAGTACCTACCCATTAGACTGTGGGAGGACCAAATGAGGTGATGCATGCTAGTGGTTTTATGTGAATGATTTAGCACAGTCCTTGGCATGTAGTAAACCAGAAAAAGGCTTACACCTTGAACGAACGAACGGAAGGAAGGAAGGAAGGAAGGAAGGAAAAAAGAAAGAAAATAAAGAAAAAAGAAAGAAAGAGAAAGAAAGAAAGAAAGAAAGAAAGAAAGAAAGAAAGAAAGATCTTGAAAGAACAAAGGAAGGAAGGGAGGAAGAGAGAGACCAAGAGAGGGAGGAGAGGAGGAAGGGAGAAAGAAAGAAGGAGAGAAAGGGAGGGAGGGAGGAAGAAAGAGAGAAAGAAAGAAAGAGAGAGAGAGAGACAGAGAAAGAGAGAAAATAAAAGACAGAATGGAAGAAAGGAAGAAGGAAGGAAGGGAGGGAGGAAGGAAGGAAAGAAGGAAGGAAGGAGGAGGAAGGAAGGAAGGAAGGAAGGAAGGAAGGAAGGAAGGAAGGAAGGAAGGAAGGAAGGAAGGAAGAGAGGGAGGCAGTAAGAAAACCCTGGCTGAAAAAATAATGACCAGACTCATTAGAGATCTAAGACATGCAACCTAAGCCTCCAGAATGCAGCTACAACAGCTCCTCCAGTCTGCAGCCTCCTCCAGAGCGGTGTCCATGCTGGGCTGTCCTCGAGCCCTCTTACTGTTCCTGGTCTGGGTCTCGTACATCACAACCACTGAAGTAAACAAGCGTCAGATGAACAGCATGTTCAAACATGTCTACTCAGCCCCCAGGAAAACAGCGGAGGAAAAAGAATGCTTTTAGAATTTTTCTCGATTTATTCAACACACAGGGTTCCACCATCCAAGAGGTGGCTGTGTGGGGGTGGCACCAATGGCATGAAGCAGCCACTGGGCTGTTGAGGGTAGTCGTGAGTGCCCAGGCTTTGGCTTTGGAGAGATGGTGGTTCAAGTCTCGATTCTGCCCATTTCTGGCTGCAGGATTTGGGCAAGTTTCTTAATCTTTTTAAGCCTCAGTTTCCCTCGTCGTAAAATGGAAATTGCAAAACTTACCTCATGAAGGAGCTGTGAGAATTAAATGAATTATTTGTAAGATACAGACAGTGTCTGGTAGAGGTAAGTGCTTCATCCATTTGGGCTGTTGGTGTCAACTCTGGGTTTCCCAAAAACTTGAAGACAGCAGGGCATTCCGTGTATTCAGTTGTAGGGAAAATCTTGTACCTTCTTAATTTTTCTGGTGGTGGGGCAGGAGAAGAGGGGTGTGGTCATGACCTGAGCCCCTGGAATGCTTCTGCCCAGCATCACTGAGACGTGCCCACCCTGCTTTGGGGTCATTTTCCTCCTCTGGCTGCCACTGTCATTCCCTTCACCACCAACACCCCCTCCTTCTGCAGAGATGGTGAACATTCTGGCATTGTTCCTTCCAGCCAATGGCTTCTCTCTGGCCTGTGATTGGTACCCCCCAGATTCCAGCGCAATCCAGGCATCCCAGCTATGTCAGCGTGACTCACATTGTGTGTGCCTGACATCCACACGGCCCCGTAGAAGGCTGGCTCCAGCAAGAGGGTATGTGGAACGCTGCTGGCTGTTTGATGGCTGTGAAGTTATCTTTTTTGGGGTCAGGCCATTAAAGTTGCATCTGACGTTTTATGGAACAAACCCAAGAGAAACTGCATGTTGAAATCCATGAGACACGAAGAAGGTTTTTACAGATGAAGACACGTCGGCAGCTAACGTTAGGTGGGTTTTTTTCCCCTCAAAACTTTGTAGTTTTTCTTCCATGTGGCTATTTCAAAGCAGAAGCAATCCCCAGCAGTGAAGCATAGAGGCTGCCATCGTAACAGGTTCCGTGAGACCTGGAGCTGCCGGGGCACCTGGAAAGAACATGGATCTGTCTCTCCGCTCTCATCAGCCCAACCAGAGTCGTCTGCTCCATTCCTACATTCTCTACCCAACTCACCTCACAAACCCTGAAGAAACATCCTTTTCTGTGCAAACCTAAATTCGTCCTGGGTGCTTTTTAGTGCATGCTCCCAGCCCTCTCCATTCTCATGCTACTTGCAAGTGACCAAGGAGCCGGTCACTCCACCCAATTCCTGGCCCTCTGGGCACACTGTGCACCTTCCAACTTTTGTTCCTGGGCGTTGTCACCTTTGTCCAGACCACCCTTCCTTTCCACTTCTGCCCACTGTTCATCCAAGCAAATGGTCCAAGAGGAGTCCACTCAAATAACAGGCATACTGCCAGGCAACGATACGGTAAGAAAGATTAGCAGACCAAGCATCAGAGCCTTTTGACCCTTGAACCCAGGACTCAAGCACACCTCCTCCAGGCAGCCTTCTCAGCCATCCCCTCGACTGAACCCCTCAGTCTCCCTCCCCCTGCACTCCCTTAACTTTTAGTTGACCCTCGTCTCCCTAAGTGAAAGCTATGTGTGTGTCTGCTCCCCTCCACACTGTAAGGCTGTTGAAGAGGGAGACCTCAAGATGCTCATTCTCGTTCTTGGACCACTTAATTGATAGAATCAGGACTTCGAGATCTTTCTCCTTCCACTGGCACTTGAATGCATAAAGAAGCAAGTGCGACAATGCTCATGGCACATGACGTATAAAAGCAAACAACTGGGGAAGGAGGGCCCCCAAATGCCCATTAACTGTGGGAAGTCGTACAATTCTGGCATATCCTTGCTATTGAAAAGCGTTCTGGCCAGGCGCAGGCTCATGCCTGCAATCCCAGCACTTTGGGAGGCCGAGGCAGGCGGATCACGAGGTCAGGAGATCGAGACCATCCTGGCTAACAAGGTGAAACCCTGTTTCCACCAAAAATACAAACAAAAAAAATTAGCCGGGCATAGCGGCGGGCGCCTGTAGTCCCAGCTGCTTGGGAGGCTGAGGCAGGAGAATGGCGTTAACCTGGGAGGCGGAGGTTGCAGTGAGCCGAGATTGCGCCACTGCACTCCAGCCTGGGTGACAGAGCAAGACTCTGTCTCAAATGAAGAAGAAGAAGAAGGAGGAGAAGGAGGAGGAGAAGGAAGAGGAGGAGGAGGAGGAGGAAGAGGAGGAGGAGAAGGAGAAGAAGGAGAAGGAGAAAGAGAAGATAAAAAATAGGCCAGACACAATGGCTCATGCCTGTAATCCCAGCACTTTGGGAGGTCAAGGAAGGCAGATCACGAGGTCAGGAGATCAAGGCCATCCTGGCTAACATGGTGAAACCCTGTCTCTACTGAAAATACAAAAAATTAGCCAGGCTTGGTGGCTGGTGCCTGTAGTCCCAGCTGCTTGGGGGGCTGAGGCAGGAGAAAGGTGTGAACCCCGGAGGTGGAGGTTGCAGTGAGCTGAGATCGCACCATTGCATTCCAGCCTGGGCAACAGAGCGAGACTCCGTCTCAAAAATAATAATAATAAAATAAAAGATAGGTCAGGTGCGGTGGCTTATGCCTGTAATCGCAGCACTTTGGGAGGTCAAGGAGGGCAGATCACGAGGTCAGGAGATCAAGACCATCCTGGCTAACACGGTGAAACCCCGTCTCTACTAAAAACTACAAAAAAAAAAACTAGCCGGGCAAGGTGGCGGGCGCCTGTAGTCCCAGCTACTCGGGAGGCTGAGGCAGGAGAATGGTGTGAACCCGGGAGGCGGAGCTTGCAGTGAGCTGAGATCCGGCCACTGCACTCCAGCCTGGGTGACAGAGCGAGACTCCGCCTCAAGAAAAAAAAAAGAATCATACCTACCATACACATTTTATTTAAAGTTAATGTACATTTATTTACCAATCCCTTGATAGCAGTCCAAAGCTTTTCCAGTCTGCGTCTGTTGATAGAGCTGTACACCGTTTTACTTGTGTAAGCCATACTCAGAAGGCATTGTCTAAGACTTCTAATTTCATTTTCTTAAAAGTGGAAATGAGAAAAAGTTACGGATACGGTAATGTGCGCGCAGATCCTAAATTACGCTATGTAGAGGCTGTGTGATCTACATAAGTTACGTAGCATTGTTGAGCATAAATTTCCAATCTGCAACACAGGGCACTAATAATATACCCACAGGTAACTGATAGGAAAAAGGATGATCCGGTGTGTACAATGCCTGGTGCTCAATAAGGCTGAGCTAATCTACTAAGTATTTTACTCTCCTCTCATTATAGGGGAGTAAGAAGACAAAGCAGCAGCGGGCCATCACCCTGTCTGGGACTCTGGCCACTTCCTCTTTCTGCCTTAAAGATGCTCAAAGTCTGGGCCGGGCACAGTGGCTCATGGCTGTAATCCCAGCACTTTGGGAGGCCGAAGTGGGCAGATCACCTGAGGTGAGAACTTTGAGACCAGCCTGGCCAACATGGTGAAATCCCAGTCTCTACTAAACATACAAAAATTAGCTGGCGTGCTGGTGCATGCCTGTAGTCCCAGGTACTTGGGAGGCTGAGGCAGGAGAATGGCTTGAACCCGGGAGGTGGAGGTTGCAGTGAGCCAAGACTGCACCATTGCAATCCAGACTGGGCAACAGAGTGAGAATCCGTCTCAAAAAAAAAAAAAAAAGCTCAAAATCCATAGATACCAGTGGGAAATTAGTATCCAACATGAAGTGTGAATGGACGAGAACCTGCTATGTGCCAGATCTGTACTGGGTGGATGGCAGCATATACTGCTCAGTAAGTTCATCTTAGTTCATTTTTGTTCCAAAGGACATTACGATCTAATGACGAAGGTTTGATATACATGGGAAGATAATAATAATAATAATATACAGCATCAATGAGGATATCAAGGACATTTTCAGTTACAGATGATTTTAAAAACTAACAAATTAGCTTAAATACCAATTTAATTTTTGAAACAGGGTTTTGTATGTTGCCTAGGCTGGAGTTAACATAATCATAGTGCACTATATACCTTCAAACTCCTGGCCTTAAGCAATCCTCCTGCCTCAACCTCCTGAGTAGCTGGGACTACAGGTGTGCGCCACTGCACCTGATTTAAAAGTATACATTTCTATTTATTTTTTTAGAGACAAGGTCTCACTATGTTGCCCAGGCTGGACTCAAACTCCTGAGCTCAAGTGATCCTCCCACCTCAGCCTCTTGAGTAGCTGGGACCACAGGCAACCACAGGCATGCACCACCATGCTTGGCTCCCCAAATGTTTAATTGGCTCAAGCAACAAGAATTCCAAAGGTCAATGGGACTTCAGGAGATATCTGATCAAGCCTCTGGTTCTAGCTCCTTTGCTTTTCTCAGTTCTTTCTTACTACGTGTGCCAGCTTTGTCCTCAAGCTGACTTCTCTCTAGTTAAAACAAAAACAAACAAACAAGCAAGCAAAAAAACTCTAGCAATTCCAATTCCAAGCCTCATACCTGAGACCACATCCTCTGCATTCTGCAAGCCACTCTAAACTAGTCAAGTTCATGTACCCAACTCTGACTCAGTCACTCTGCAAGATGGGATTATGTTGATCATCTTGGGCCAATCAGGGATTACCCCAAGATCTGGTGAAGGAGTCAATTTAATGTGTGCTTCTTTCATGTGTCAGGCACTGTGCTACTTGCCTTTACATGGATTATCACATTTATCCTCGTAACAACCCTATGAAGTAAGTGCTACTAGCAGTTCCAGATTATAGTTGAAGAAACTGAGGCCCAGAGAGGTTAAGTAACTTTTCTGTGGTCGCACAGCCAATAAGTGGTAGAGCCAGGATTCATACTTTGGCCCTCTGTCTCCAGACCCCACATTCATAACCACTAGACCACAAAGTCTGCCAAGGGAGAAGTTCCAAGGTGATGCCTGATGTGCTGTGCAAACATCACTCTCTGGGTAAATTGGGAGGGAGGAGCACTTGGCCTGGTGTGATGATGACAGGTTAGGGCTTGAGCTAGGTCTTAAGCAAGGGTGGGAAAGTAAGATCAAGTGAACCTTCAGAGATGGGAATCATGTAGCAGAAATAACAAACACAGTGGGATCAGACTGACTGTCAAGTTTGCTGCTAATAGCTGAGTGAACTTTGTCAAATTATTCACTTCTCTGAGCTCACAGGTGAAATAAGAAGCCATGAGAGTGAATCAAAGGCCCGTGGGAAAATCTAAAGTGAGAAGTGGGCTGAGAATATGATCCTGGAAACCCTGAACAGGACCCGTAAAAGTCAAGCCAAGTCCTACGGGAAAATGGAAAGTCCCTTGGAAGGGTACAAATACAAAGGATTCGCTACAGTGACAAATCTAGAGAAATTATTCTAATCGTCCTTACCATTTCCTGCCAGCCCAGGAAACAAGGAAGAGGAAGACAAAGATGAAGCCTCAGGCGTTGTAAGACTATACTTTACAATCACCCAGTTCCGGAGCTGGATAGGACAACAGACAACTCCGTTGCTTATTGCACAGATAAGAAAGGAGACGCATTTTGAACACTTAAATGAAGAGGCATATAGGTAAAGTGCCGGGCACAGTGCCTCATAAACAGCAGGTACTCAATAGACAGTGTAAAATATTATTGGTGAATAATAATAGTTACTATTTTCATAAGTGACTTATCCAAGACCTCAGAAGTTGATTCGTGACCAAAAAAGATAAGAATCCATGTCTTTTAATGTCTAGTGCAGTTTCTTCATCACTCTGAGCTTTTTTCTCTGATGAAGGATGCCAGATACCACTGTAAGAAGGGAGAAGAAATAGCAACCTAAAGTAGGAAAAACTATCAAAGACGGAAAATGTTGGAATAAGCATTGAACAAGTAGTTTGGAAACCAATCTTGGTCTGCCATTAACTGGCTCAATGACTTAACCAGCTCAGGCCCCAGTTTACTCATCTGTAATGGTAGAGATTTGAATAAGATCATCTCTGTTTCCTTCCAACTCTGAAATTCTATGAAAGTAGGTTCCTCTCTTAACATTT